ACCAGTGTTATTCTATATGGTTAACACATGAAATGTGTCTATAGCAAGAGTGTGTCTGTGACAGTAGATATGTATATCAGTTGCTAAGAAGTGTGAAGCTTTATTGCTGAGCAGTTTACCAGAAACTAACTGTGAGGAGAGAAGGAATCTTAGTCAACCTGCATGCTGTCTGCAGTTCTGAACTTGCTGGTGCCACCCTTGAACTTTCCACAAACCTCCTAACAAAACTATGTAGGAGTCTTAATATGGCTTTTTTTTCCTTGTTATTGCCTTCTGAAGGTGTATTAGTGAGAATTAGTGAAACAGACCCTGGAAAACCAAGTATTTCACAATCACCTTACCAGAATCCTTCATTAAATTTACATTCTTGGATGCAGGTTTAATTTTTTTTTTTTTTCTGACTTACCGAAGGCATGTCAGTGACAATTAATAGATCTCCTGGAAAACAGTTATTGCACAATGACGTTATGAAAGCTGAAGTCAGGAATGTAAATAAATGAAGGGCTGCGGTGAGGGTTCAGTGTGATCCGATATGCCAGTATGCCAATCTGAACACTGGCATCGCTGAACAAGGAAGGAAGGTTTATAAGACAGAGGTAAACAAGAACTGAATTTCCAGTTGAGACACAAAGCTTTTTGTGAAAAGACCCAGAACTTTCTTCCGTGGTCTGCTTTTTTGGCAACAGAAGCAGGAAAAGTAACAGAACCCTGCAGACTAGCCCCTAAGAGGAAGGGCAAAGATGCTGGCTTCCCAAGCCGCCTGCGGCACTGAAGCGGTTGGTGAGAAGCCTTACTCCTTAGGTATACTATCAATATTCCTTTTGTTGGCTTATCTTTGTGGAACTCTTTTCAGTACTGCAAATCCTTTGCTTTCTGATAGATTAAAATTAATTGGTTGTTCTTCTGTTAGACCTGCTGTGGAGGCAAATCACTCTGAGGCAACACAAATTGATCTCGATCTCCGATGCAGCCATTCTCTCCTCTCCCGCGTCCCAGCAAAAGGAGTTGTGCCCTGCCAAAATTGGCAGGCATATGCCACCAGAGCAACTCTGTTTTCTGCCAAAGTCCATCCTTGAATGTGCTCCGCTCAATTGAAGAAGAGGATTGGAAAATGGAACAGAAATGAAAACTGGATTTAGATCCAACCAAATTAAGAGGAACTACCAAACTGAGTGCCCTTTTGATCATGGGGTGGGAGGCTTGTTGTGCTGAGACCCTCAGCTTGCAACTAACTGTAAGGGCCAGTTCAGGGTTTTGACATCAAGTGAGATCAGCCTCTTTTGGCAGACAGTAATTAGCACCACTTACGGCCAGAAAGGGAGTGAAACGACTCATGACTGAGGACAATCACCCTTCTTTTAGGATACTCATAATACATATGTTCTATTTCAGATGAGAAAAAAGAGGACATTTTTTTCCTCCAAACAACATTAACTTGTCTGATAAAGGAGGCATATAAAATCAAAAAGGAAAGCTTCAAATAACTGAAACAAAATAAATACCTGACATGGGAAAATTTTAAGAAATGCATGCTGATGATAAAAATATTAATTAATATAAATTAATTTAAAAAGATGCATCCTGCAGTTGAGTATTTTGAGGGATTTTTTTTCCATAGTAAGAAAAAAGAGGATAAGTCACAGTCATTTAGTTGAAGAGGTGCAGCGTGCTTGACTTGTGTGTTGATCTGAAGCATCATGAGGACCCCAGTTTATTCCTGCCCAGTCTTGGCATCCTGCCCTGTTGCAATGCCCAGTAAGCTGAAGGAGTCGAGTCCTTCCTATGGGTTAGACAGGACTCTGATGGTTTTTGCATTTTCTTTGGACTCCCCTTCCTAGACCAAATAAGTCAAATAAAGAAACTGCTCTTGGATTGTCACCATAATTGGTCTCTTCCATGACCATGACTAATGAAAGTGTAGAGTACTTAGACCCTTAGTTGCTTTTGGTAGGTGATGTAGTGTATTTTCTCCTAAGGGAGCAAGAAGCAACTTAGCTAAGTAGGATAGAATGGCCTGTCCTCAGAAAATAGAATTAAATCAAATCATTAAATCGTGATGTTTGTTATTAAATGTTAATCTAACTCCATATTGGAAAGCCTAGTGTTTTTTGTTTGTTTTTGTTTTTAATCTAGTGTGCTGTCCTGTTAGTGTTAACGGGCCTTTGCAATTACCAAAACAGGGCAGAAAAATCACCCTGGAAGCTTGCCATCCTGACAGGCCAGCATAAAGTGTAAACACACTAATTGAAGAGCCAGGATTTTTGTCCTGAAAGCCTTATCATGTTCTCTGTAGGAGTAACGAGCGCATGAAAATGCTCTCATTTATAGTAATGCATGTGATACAGCTCCAGGATGCACTGAAAAAGACTGAAGCATATAACTTGTGTCATTACCTTTTTTTTTTTTCCCCTCACTGGAGCTTTGGGGGGGATTTTTTTTTTAATAATAATAAGTTGTTATTACTCCTCAAAAGTCTACTGACTCTTGCCTAGAAATTGTGCTAGCATAAGCATCATTTCCTTCCAACAACAGGCCAAAGATGTTCTGCAACGGCAAGAATTTTATGAATATTTCATGAGTAGCTTAAGCTAGAATTTGCAGGATTAAAAAAAGAGGAAACTGGGTCAAATGCACATGGTATAAGCATCCAACTTCTTTAATGCTAAATTCATTTATGTCATATTTTGAAACCTGAAGGCGCAATTTTTTTTTGCTTGACCACTTTAGTAAGCCATAACTATTCCCTTCTGAATGATGTGGGGCAAACTCCAGGAGTCCTGCTGGGCCTCACAGTGCAGGGCTTGGGGACAACCTCAGGACATGTTTTTCCAGCAAGACCGGTGCCTTTTGGAGTACAGACTATCCTGTTACTTCCGTAGGTCCATTGCTGAATTAGAATGATTGGGGAGCAGGACAACAGGTGACACGTTCTCTAGAGCAACGCCAAAGTTCAGGCCAATTCTCAATGGATGAATTTGTTGCAGTAGTCCACCTCAGGCTCACTTTAAGCCACTCACCACAAAAATTGGGGGTGCTGGAGGTGCACTGAGAAGGCCAAAGGAGCTGCCCAGTGCAGTGCTGTGCCTGCAGCGCCGCTGGCCATGGGTGCCCGCATGCCCTGGCCTGCCTGTTCCCAGGGCTTTGCCTCTCCGACCCTCCTGCTCGCTGCAGCAGCGCGCTCGGTGGCACTCGAGCTGTGCGAAGGTGCGGAGGTGACAGCGGAGGCCAAACGACTGGCATGGAGGGGCAGGGAAAGTCACGCGGATGTTTCTGCCGAGCTCGGAAGCACGGCGCCCACAAGGCTCCCTGCACATGAACTTATCACCTTGAGCATTTGTGCTCAGCTGCTAATAAGATACGCAGCGGACTGAGCTCTTGTGTTCACGTTAGATTGCGTTTTCAAATACTGCTGTTAGCCATAATTGCCAAAGCCCCTGCCAGTGCTCAGATGAATGAAATAATAATCTGAAGTTCAGACTGCAAGAAAGTGAGGGTTTTATATTGTGCTGTCCATTTCTAAGAGATGGCGAGTGGCTTTATAAACAGAAATAATTAAACACTTGAGAAAGGATCTTAACTGCTTAATCTGTGCTTTTTTTGAATCTCTCTTACACCTGTAGGTATGATAGTGGCTCCCTATTTCAGCCTAAGTTGGGTTTTAATTCCTCTACTCCCTCTTTGGTGCTGTGAGTAGGGATTTGAGGTTTCATTTTGATTAAAGAGGGAGTTGATACTTTTTTATTTTTTTTAACATCTTATGTATTTGAAGCCTCTCTGGAGCTGTATATGGCTAATACAACTGTTCTCAATATTTCCACCCACACATTTTTACTCTGATGTCACTGCTATCCTTAATGTCCTTTTATCCCTTTTTTTTTTTTCCAAACCATATAGACATTTTTAGTCTTGGTGTGTAAAATATGTAAATGGCTGAGCTGTAACAAAGCTCATAGTGGTCTTTGTGGCTTTTTAGAATATGCATGGGAATAAAAAGTGTTTAAATGTATTTACTTTCATAGCATTATTGTGGTAAAAAGGCATTTCTAAATTTAATATTGCATTTTTTCCTTTACAAATAATCAGCAGTGTAAGCAAGATGGGACTGTCTTGTGCCTCTCCCAGCGCAAGTGGGGACGCAGAATTTAACTGTGGCCTTGGGAAGGCTGGCCCACCAAAGGCTCCTGTCAGTCCCATTTCGTGTCTGTGCATTAGCCTCCTCCTACCTTTGTAGCTACTTCTGGAAGACTTCGTCTTTCCTGTAGCTTTGTCCTGTGATAGGCTCAGCCACTCTGTTTCTCAGTCCCCTTAAAATACATTAAGCCAATGTGGTTGTTACCCTATGTCTGCTGTCTCAAACTGCAAGTCTGGATTATATTATGCTGAAGGGGCCTAAACTGGTCATTAGGGATTGTCTTTCTTCCCTTATTTCTCTTCCTTCCCCTAGAATATCCACATTGAGTAATGACACTCAAACACACAGAACAAAGCTAAAGCAAACTGATTTCTTTTTCACTCATTTAGACTTGTATCTTTCTAGTTCTGTAGCGGAAGTTTTGTTTTCTGGGCTCCCTTCATCATGTCATATTTTTTCTGCAGTGACCTCTGATGTCTACATTATATACTGAAGCAAAAGACTGTAAGGTTAAACATTACAGGCAAAGAATCAAGTCTCAAGGATAAGTAGACCTTGTTTCTGAGGCTCGTTATTTTAACTAGAAATAGATTGCTTAGCTACAGCTTTGTTGCTGACTGGGTTCTTTGTTTTTTGTGATAATGTGGATTTTTAAAGCAATTAATTTTTCTCTTTTTAGAGAATGGTAAGTACTGAAGGAAGCCCTTTCAAAAAGGGTTTGCTCAATACCAGGTTTGGTTGCTTTTTAAAATGCTGAGTATTGTCTTGTCATTAGGAATTGTCTGGAAAAATATTTCTGGTTATGTGGCTATGTTTGTGAGTAAAAAATCTGTTTTTGTTGTTTGCTTTTTTTCCCGTCACTGTTTAGCTGCAAGGTCAGGCTGGCTGCCCCCACCACCACCTGCACTGCCCCCTCGACCATCCGTAACTCAGGTATGTGCAAAATTTTGGCACTTTGTTGAGTATTGCTCCGTTATTTATATTCCTATTGTGGTGGTGAAAACAAGTGAGCTTGGGCATCTTAGCTGCTCTCACTTCCGAGTTAACGCACACATGCAGTTTGCTCGGCAGGCCCATACCTGCCCTTTTCCGTTGGTCTGTCTAGTCAGCATGGTGCAATGTCAAATTACTGACTAATGAATTCTCTTTGGAGCAGAGTCAGCATGTGCCTGCTGGGCATAGGCAAGACTATAAATTAAAGGCCACTAAGGCTAGTCTGCTGATAGAGTTTGATGCCTGCAAGGCATGGGCTTGATACCAGCTTTTTGTTTCTCAAGCTTCCAATGCACAGAGGGCATCTGGTAAGGGAGCCATAGTTAGAAGAGTTTGTTTCCCCCATGGGTGTGAAAACTCACCCTGAAAGGAAGTGAATTCCATGTCATTGATGATATTAAGTTTAAATCCGTTGGTGACACGCTATTTTTTTAAGAGCTTTGCATTGCTGTAGCACAATTTAAATAAACATAATCATGAATATCTGTATTCACCTGCTGCTTTGTATTGCTGGAAATGATAGGGGATGGATGTCTTGTTCTTGTTACGCTATTGGCTTTGTTAGGTCATAGGCAGCAGCGCACTGCATATGTTATTTCCTTAGGGTGAGGTAGAAAAGGAGGACAAGTCCCCAGGGGAGCTAACAGCAGGTTGCACACACAGGCTTGTTGGGGCACCCTTATTGGGCTAGTCATCACTTGAGTTTGGGATCTGCTCTGAGAGTCTAATGCTAACATCTCTTGCTGCCCAGCGTTTATGGTAGAATTATTAAAAGACTTGTTGCCACCCACAGCTGCAAAAGAAAAATGGTCAAATCTACTTGTTTCCTTTTTCCCCCCAGTCCTGCTGAGTGAGGGTAGTTTTTTGTCTTGAGGCCTGGAGAGCTTTCTGGTAGAGCTTCCCTTCGGTCAGGACGGTGTTCACGCTGCTATTTGGTGCACCCATCCAGT